AATACATATTTTTGTTGTAATAGTTGTTATTAAATGAATTCCATACCTATTCAAAATAAAGCTAAATTTATTATACTTAATATAAAATAATTTCATTTTATTAAATTTTCTAGTCAGCTAGCTGTCATATCACAGTCGTGGCCATTTAAGTAATTTCAGTGGTTATCCGAACTGTAGACAAATATTGCTGTAAGTAGATACTGGTACTACATTCACAACTACTATTAACACCCCAAATCCAATTTGAATACGGTAATGTTTATTGGGTATGGTTTTGTTACTCACAGATACAACGTCAGCCGCAGATGTTCATGAATACGTATTGTTTAAGGGACCGATTTCAAATTAATGGCTTCAACATTCGGAGAAACAGAACAAAAAATGATATGCAGGCCGTCGTAAACATGAATATAAAAAGCGGATACCTCATACGAATTCGTTAGCTATAATGTAATCAAAACACCGACATCATTCATGCATCCAGGAAGTAAATCGTATAAGGTGAAGTCGGCGTATTAAAGGGTTGCTAACCAATGAACTCCGGTCGGTTAAAAGTTACACGAAGGAATTAGAATTCTTCTCTTTCCCCCAAAAATAGCATCCATATTTGTTCGAACGTAGAAAAAAAGATTTTGTGCATCGAAAATATTGTCAGACGAACGGTTGTAGAATTTCGTTCTCTTTAAATTGTACTTTGACCGCGCGTAATAAGATGTAAAGTCCCTTGTCAAATTACACATATTTCATTTAGGGATCGTAAAGATTCGCTTACCTGCTTGTTTGTTGTGAGTAGGAGAAGGGCCGTCTCGTCCGCCATAGAACCTTTTTTTACATTCAATTTTATGTGTGGGAATTTTAATGTGAAGCTAAAATGGCACGTTCTGTTCTCCACAGATGGGTCGCATTTGGTGTCGATGCTTCGCAAAACACGTGTCGCGTTCATCATAAAAATTTAAGTGATTCCATGCTTTGGCCTTGAAAGAGAAAATAAAATGGTACCATGTAATGAAACGGGCATTGTCTTCGGCGTATAAGATTTATTATTACATCGTAAAGAAACAGCTGCATGTTTTCAATTACTAACAAGTGATTGATGGACAAAACAGATTCCATCCACACTAAAATGAGTTTACCACCGTAACCAATACCCGGTCTATTATTTTTTATCACTTACAAATTTACTGCATTCACTTACAGAAATATCCACATATTTAACATAATTACATGTATGTCCAAACGTAAATATTAACACTTTTAATACTAATCGGCATAATTAAATTTCTGATATGTAATTTCTACTCTTAATCGACTAATGAGAAGTAACCAATATTTGAAACAGCTGGAATTCTAGTAAGAAATACAACTAGCGGCGGCAGTGCTCAGCGGGACGCTCCGACAATGGCAACCAAATTAAAAGGAACCATAAACGTTTCGACTTGAGCTTTGCTAAAATTTATTGCTACCAGCATTTTTCTCTTATTACAGTTGCTAATGAGATTCGGATGCTGCTGCTGTACTTACCGCAGTAAGCGTAGATAAAAAATCTGCTAATTTCTATTTACCCTAAAGCATTGTATGCTTATTTTATATCGAGAATTACTATATTCATAGCTGACATCGTATGGGGTGGACGTGAGCTAATAACATTCGCTCAGTATTGAAATATGCGCGAGTAGATCGTAGAGACTTTATTCCAAGTAATAGGTGCGATCGAAATAATTGAAAATCTTGATTTCAAATTCTATAGTATTTGCAATAAAGCTGATAATGTTTTGAAGAATAAAGTCTTCGCGGGTGGTCCTAGATTACGCTAGCTATTGGACCGAAGCAGGAATGCAAATTTCACTGGTGTTGCTATACTCCATACTCTTGAACGTTGTAGTGATTAGATTTACTTTAAAAAATAGACTATACCTTTTCTGAAAGTTAATAAAGTTATAATTTACATATATTACCTTTTACTAAACTATAAATAGTTTTATTTTTCAATGCAAACTTTTCTATTTTATATAATATTATGTACTAAAAGATAAATAAAAAACGTCCTGCTGAACTCTAACTAACTATTGTTTGTATAAACCATTTCATAAATATTTTGAATATAATTTTACGTTGGAATTCTGAATTTATTTAATGAATCGGAAAATGTCTATTTTATGGTATCTACTTTTATAAGCCCACATTTAGTATGCTAAAAAACATTGTGATATCTGCGCCTATTCATTTAAAAGTCTTAGAAAATTTAGGAAGTATTTAAAGAAATAATTAAAAACGAGTGACACTTAGGTCCAAGTTAAGCTATGACAAGAGGGCTGCCGGCCGATCGATGTGCACCAAAGAGGAAAATGGTGTGGAACGAATGATGCAATACGAATTAAGTGCGGCAAACTAGATCCATAGAATAAAGAGCCGCTCTTTTGAAGGTCTGACGAAGCTAAGTAGGGACAAAGGGACAATAGTGAAAGAGCAAAGTACCAGAGCGTGGCGATCTAGTGCCGGCTTCCGGCGATGTGGGAACGCCTTTTTGTTATTTTCGAGTATAATAATTATATTTTATATTCAACACTGAATCTTCTTTATCTGGTGGTATAAATATAATAATAATTACTTTATCGACTCTAATCATGTTCCTGAAGTTACTATATGAGAGTTACAAAATGGGATTCCATGAATGATGATGCTTTGTTTTTAAAACAAACAAATGTAATTTAAGAAAATATTTAAACTATAGAAATATTTTATAAGTCCTATAACCGGTATAATAAATTATTGGTCAACACGACAGCATTAAACATTTTGATTGATAAACGATATCCCACGACAAGTCTTGAGAATAAAAACAAAATAACAAGGAATGTGTTTTGATTATAATAGCATGTAACATAAAAAAATAAGTTTATATAAAAACAACTACTTACTTACTAATATAGCGTGTATTAGCAAAGAAATAGCGAATATTTTTATTGTTGTACTAGGTTTCATTCAAATAATGAACCTATATTTCGTCATCAAAACTTAGTTTTACTTAAGTATATATTTTAGAGAATCCGTAATCTCTAATTCCCGTCGGAATTTCAGTCTATCCATTTTTATTGAATGCTTTGCCATAACAAGTAAGTAACAAAATGTAATAAGAAAAGACAATTTCAGTTATTACTTTAATACAACATAATAAGTTCTAGAATATATACAATAATATATACTAAGATAGTGCAAACCTCTAACGAGAAAAGTCGTAGAACATCACAACAGTGACTAATAATATCGCACATAAACCCATTATAAACAACTGGAGCATGACAAATGATGCCATAATTAAAGACAGGGATAGCTGAATATTCACACTTAGATCCAGATTACATAGAAAATATGTAAGAGCGAGTTATAGATACAACTATGTTATTAACTAAATAAACTTTATACTATCAATGTACAATAGATAATTAACTAGTATGACTATAGGCACATTCCACGTCACGGCTCATCGACTGATCTATTTAGTACTTCTATTTTCTTGTCAGACACACTAAAATGGTGTTTCTATAGCCCGGGTGGGAATATTTGAGCCACCAATAATTACAGAGCTAACTACCACTGATGGATAAATATTATGGAGCGTTCATTTTACTCCTTAGTTGAGTTACTGAGAGCAAAGAATATTCTTGTTTTACTAAAACATTATATAATATGGTTCATTAGGATCTCTAACCTTTGTAATAAAATGAATATATTATGTTATTTAGTATTGGAGCAGAAAGCAATTGCGATAATCAATAAATATTTTTAAATTATTACTTAGGTATATTCTTAGTAGATAATTTATAAAATGTTTTCACGATGTTTATTTATTGATCTTAAATGTATATTCTTATTTTTATGTAGATTATTCTTTATTTATTTAAAAGTATATTTCTATTTAATTTAACTTAGGTACCTATATTATTTATTATCATAAACGCATACAATATTTCTTATTAAAGAACATTCTGTTCTCAACATTGTACCACTTATATTTATTTGCTCGATAGACTGAGTAAACAAATGTTTGTAAGATTCAAAGACGTATGCAACGCAATCGATGTCTTCAAATATTTATAGGTATGTAGAATTTTTAATTTTATAAAACGTTCACATGGGGATATTAATATATTCATAGATGGTATTCTTTATGTCCGTTATAAGTAGGTACCTACGTACTTTCCTGTAACAGTAAACGATAGCAATCGAAAGTCGATATCGTGCGACTCCATACCATCGTTGACTGTAGACTTAGTCGAGTGTATAAAACTAACAAGGGAGACTATTTCCAAATACTGCTCAGGCTTTGGAAGCTCCTCATAGTCAGGGTAAGCGTGATTTATTGGCAAAACTTGCGCCATTACTCATCTCACCATTCGTTACTCCAATAAAAAGAACGTCTTCCGATAATTTATCGAGAGGGTATACATTTTTATTATAGTTCTCTATTTTTAAGTGCACTCAGCCATAGATATTAAATCGTAAATGAAAAAATCATAATTTACGTTTCCTGTAAGCGTTGTTGAGTATTCTTACTCTATGAAATTTTTAGTTGCATGTAATGTAGCTAGGTAGTCGTATATTTATGATATAATATGTATTTATGACATATATTCTTATTGATAAAATTTATCCTAATTAGCATAGTACATGTCTTACTCAAAATGTAGTAGTCTCGACAGCTGTAGTCAGGGACAGGTGACAAATTTCTACTTGTATTAGAAAGGTATAGAACTTAAATTTAACGGAGAAATAGAGAATTAATATTCGAAGAACACTGTGATTAATTTACTTACTCAGTGAAAGAAATCACACTACTACTACTAGAAACAAAACGATCGTAAGTATAAAATAGTAAATAATGAAACATTAGTTTTTATTAGACTTTTTTTTAAGTACATCTCTACTTCTCTATTTAATATTTTGTTTGTTGCCTTAGCTTACATCACAAAATAATGATATATGATGATTTAAAAAGTTACCTGTAAACTAGTGGTCATCAAATAATGTAGTTCCAATAGCTTCTATTTTATATAAAGGTTGACAAAAGTTTAAACTTATCAAAAACAATGATCGAAATCCACTTAAACTATAAGAAAGAATGCAAACGTTACACTATAGCAGAATAGTAGTTTTTGTCACTTTACAAACTATAGCACTCAAGAGCAAACAACTTCGCGGAACTTGCACTTCACAGAAAGTATCTTTCACTTAGAAAAGTCGAAGTCTAGGGTCAGTACACAGGGTTCCCGTCTAAAACTTAAAGTTCGGGCACTTCACAATTTATTAGTGGCACAACGTGTAATCACAAAGCCGGTAGAATGGTGCAATCGCGGCGAACGCTTTAACACAGCGGCGTTCATACGACACGACCGTACGAGCCTCTCTGTCTGCTACACTGGCGAAGCCGCGTAAGCGTCCGCGGGCGAGGGGACCGATAGACGAAAATGGCTTTACAAGTTAATTTTTTTCTCTTTCCTCCTTTAATATTTCGCATATGCCGTACGCGGCGGACGTTGCACGCGCATGCGGACTACCCCCACAACATGTAGGGGTTGTAATGTAACCCGATGCATCCACACTTTACATAACTTATTGGGCCGTTTATCGAAGCCACTATTTAATACCCTTTCCATGTCGGCTTTGTAAGTTCCTCGTTTAGACTGACGGAATATTAATCCTTGTTTGAAATACTTAAATTCATTTGAAATAAGTACCTGTACCATTAATCTAACTTTACTTTTACAATGAATAATGGTATAAGCGCCAACGTGATAAATAGAAAATACAAATTTGCTTGGAAGTAAAACAAATCTAGTTGTACCTCATATTTGCCATATCTATTGAACTTGTTACAATATTATTTCCAAATAGTTTTTTGTTTCAGACTGAAAACTATTTTTTTAACCAGCCAAGTTGAAAGTAGGGAATGCAATCCCGACTCGAGATTGCAAATTCGGGATCCCGCGGGATTAGAAATATCAATCCCGCGGGATCCCGGAATTATCGGGATCCCGTCTAAATTTAAAAAAAATGTTGATATCAGATGACTGAAAAAGCTAATAACTGCTTGTTTGTGATAGTGAGGTTAACTAAAATAACATATTACTCGAAAGATAATAAAAACTTTTATTCTTTAATCTTACCAACTAAATAATAATCAGGTTGTAAGGAAATTAACGTAGTTAAATTAGGTAATCAAAAACAATAAGCTTATTTCAAGGGAATTAGGAAAAACAGTGATTTTGAAAATGACTCCTTAAAAAACAAAGGGTATTAATAGTTTCATCTGCTAAACGGCATCTAATGTCCGTTGCAATGTACCCCGCTGCTGAAAATGCCCTCTCCGACTCAACGCTGGTTGGGAACAGCGTGGCGAAGCAATTATATGCAAACTGCAAAAATCGCCCCCTTGTTCCTCCACACTCAAACAAATCCATTTCTATTTTAATGGTAGATTCTAATTTGTCTAAGCTCGTGGACGTGGATATACGTGCAAAAGGACTTTTAGAAGCTCGCAGAGTTTCTTCTAATTCCTCTTGAAGCGATTTATTAGTTTGTGCAGCACGTAAATTCAAATCTTCTGCAATCATTGAAAGAGGCAAGTCATCTTCGATTAGTACTGCCGTATTAATATCTGCTTGGTTTGGTTCTTTACGATATAATCGTGTGATTATATTTTTTATTTCTTTTTCACTGCCGCCCAATCCCGTCAATCTCGAACGGGATCTCGTCATATGATGCGTCGGGATTGATCCCGAAAAATTACACGAGATCTCGCGAGATCGGGATCCCGCGGGATCGGGATTGCATTCCCTAGTTGAAAGCAGCTACCCATATAATCAAACTTAAAGATTGAATTGGCTTTTTTATTTATTGTATGGTCTTTCTATTTCTATCTTTTTCTATTGTATTCTATTTCAATACACAATTATTTAAATATTAATTTATACATTATGTCAAAATATACATAACTCACAAAGTTATGAAAACCGGGGCGAAGTCAGAGCAGGCCCATAGTATATTATAACCATACTTCCATCATTTTGTAGTGGGTATTTTTGGCATTTTTTATTGCTGTAATAGTCATATAATTAATTAATTCATATCATCGGTAAAGCTTTTACCTTCATAAAAAATTAATCCGAGAATGCTGGCATTATAAATAATTTATTACTTGGCACTTGGATTGCCATTAGCACTGCTATTACGTTTATTTCGGAGTTCTACCATCTTAAGAGTTCCAATTTTTAACATTCCTTTCGAGTGTTCTGATGAGAAATCTGATATTTAATTAATCTATTCAAGAGGCAGTAAATAAATTTAAATCAAGTAGGTATATAATTTAAAATTATATCATTATAGTACACAATACAGACACAAGTACGTTACTCAACTTATTTTTATTTATTAATTTCAGTAATTTATAAACTTGTACAATGTAATCTTATATTGAACCCCTCACCAGGCTAACAGAATGTACAGATTTTATAATGTATCTTTTAGTGTACATACCTATCCGGACATTTATACTAATATAATTATAATTTTAAGTAAGAAAACCATCCAAAACTGTATTCTTAACCAATAGAAGATTTCGAGAAAATATAAACACTAATACAATTGCATTAAACAGCATATTTTGTATATTTTAAGATCATAATTGATGAATCTTACGATATCAGAGAGACGCGCATAATTCTGCTATGTAGTTAACAAAAAGTTCAAACTATTAAAATATCTTCGGTTACTTAATCACAAACTTTTCCCTTTAGTTGGGCAGGCATGTAATAGATCTTATGAGACCATGAAGAATGTGTGGGGTCCGCCAAACATTCTTATACTGAATTAGTTGAACTAATTAATGGATTACCTAAAATTTATACTAATTTATAAAAGAAAGAGGACAATTATTGTTTAGTGAAATCACTCATCCCCATGTTTAATTTCACGCGAATATGTCATTCTATTTTATGGAACGTTAAGAATATTTTACTAGTATGCTGCTATATTCATCACAATAACCAAGTTTGTGTTAAAGTAATATTGCGTAAAAAACATTTGTCAATTTTAGAGTGCAACAATGCCTAAGCTGAAGTAACGAAGTTGATAAAGGAACTGCGGTAGTAGAGTCGTCCTCTGTCCCATTAGATTTACCGAACGAAATACGAGGATGTCGAGTGTTGCCTTCACCAAGAACTCGACAGTAGATAATGCCTCTAAAGTTAGGAAGGGGATACAATCCCCTTCCTGTAATGATTATTCGTGACAATGCGGACTAATGACTTCATTGCTACCAACATGTCAGGTTGACATCCACGAGATTTTCCCTTGAAACCACCATGACAGATTCTTGGTGAATTTGTTACGATGTGCTCCGCCAGCTTAAATCGTTAGTGCAGAAAAGTGCACCATTCCATTATCATGCATAAAAAAATTACTAAAGTGGGGAAAGGGGATTGTAAGTAATGTAAACTAGTGGCCCCTTTGCTAGTAAGGAGCGCTAACAAGTCGACCTCAACAAAGTTCCTTCCAGAAATTTACATCAATGATAAGCTAATCTAGTCAGAGACATTTTTTTATCCACCTGGGATAAAAGTCGTGAAGATTGTTTACATTAATCATTTGTTAATATGGACAGATTAGGTATGTAGCAACGTCAGTATGTACGTTTAACTATGTTTGGTAGTCTGGCGGTATATTTTGTTACACTACTCTCCGGTTATTCTAGTTTACAGAGGGACATCGAACCAGAATTAGCATATAGTTTCCAGGCGAGGCGTCGATTGCCTATGCCCACTATTTCACAGTTACATGTGTAATTTTTAGTTCATTGTTAGACTCGTTCATTTATTACATAAATTGCTTAGTCAAAGTTAGTGAATTATAAGCATAAGTTATTCAAAGTGTTTGTGGGGACTTTTAATAGTTCATTTAAAATTAGTTATGTTGGTACTATCGACTGGGATAAAAGAACAATATTAACAAAGAGTACAAATTAAACATACTTTACAATCTTCGCGTTAAATGTATACCTACTGTATTGTATGTTTAATTATTTTTTAACAATATAACACAGTAAAAGTTCACAAGACAGCTCATTCTTTGTATTCCCTTTCCATTAGGATAGTGTCGACCTTCATAATATTCGATGGCACTACCGTACCGTTGCTGGGATCCAGTGGCAGAGAGGAAAACTCCAAGTAGTACCCGACACTTGTGATATGCTTTCATTTCCATATATAAATCTTTTTTATTAAGTATTTTACGGCCCTGGAAATTTATTGTCAATATTACCAGCTTACATTTAATTGCTAATATTATGGCTGTATAGGCTGAGTTCTTTTGCCTTTCCCCTGAAACGGGAAAACCCGAACCAAAAAAGATTGCCAATATTAAGACAATATTTCACATAAAACTATTTAGAAAATAAAACCTAACAGTAACATAATATACTATCAATTGTACAACTGTTCACATTTGAAATTGGGAAGGATCCTATTTCTGAGAAAATACATTTACTCGTAGTTCCATAAAAAGATTTTTTTAAAACTTGTTTACGTGCGTTAGATACTAAGAAATGTGTTGATTAGGCACCTAATAGTGTAATTCATAAGTGAAAAAAAGAAATAATGTGTTTAAAAATCTGATCCGATAGTGATATTGTGTAATAACTAAACTAATTGCTTGTCTAGAGTGCTAAATATACTTTTAAATATAGAAGTAATAATACAGTTATTTATTAATTTATTTAAATAATAACCATCAATAGAGGTCCTAGAAATTTGCATATCATGTTAGCAAACAGAGGACACTTCAAGCCAGCAAAAATATTATGTTTAATAAAAATTGGCTTACGTAGTATTTTAAACATCAAAAATAATTTATCATTTATCATTATCATTTCCCATAGTTAATAAAAATTAAATTGACAAATTGACTTCTTCAGTCGAATAGGCACCTAAAAGCACGGAAGGTGAGAAATTACTGTATTATTGAGGTGCTAAAACAGTTTTGATATGCATTCACCGCGGTTTCCATCAGCTATGATTGTAGGATTGCGTGCCCCGACTTGATAACGAAGCTAAAAGCGCAGTCTGCCACCAATATGGACATTCCTTTAAATAACATTATAACAATTTTATAATGTTAAACAGCTTATATATGTACAAGTATAGGTATATATATGTATTAAACTTTTTTATATGAGACTAACATATACACATGATTTCGTCCCCGTTTTTTGAGATAAAATTGGATGAGTAGTACCGCATAATACCCCAAACTTTACCTATTTATAATTGTAGTATAAAGAGATAGAGCGTACTTTGATATTTGATGAAAGTAAATTCAGAAACTACTGCACCGATTTGATAGTCTTGTACTGACAGAAGGATACGAAACTGACATTA